AAATATAGAAAGTCTGTGTTTGTCATTTAATAGAGTATATTTATTATTTAATTTTTAAATATAAAGATATGATATTTTTATTTTTCAAATAATATTATTTAATATATTCAATTAAAAAAACTTGAGAAAATATTTTTTCTCAAATTTTCAAATGTGAAAAATCAAAATTAAAAGTTATGATATGAACCCATTACTATAATCTGCTATATTTTACATTATCATATTTAAATTTTTTAAAACTATTTTATCAAAATTTTAATTGAGAAAAATAATTTATTTTCAAAAAAATTCATGGTAGAATGAGACTCATTAAACAGTGCATATTAGAATTTGTATTTGTAAAATTATATTTATATCGAGTGAAAATGGGTTAAGTAAACGGTTTAATCTGATATAAACGAGTTATGATTCTAATTTTTGAACATCTACAAAAACAAATATTACAATTCAAAATATTAGCTTTTAAAAATAGGTGGTATACTCAATTTATTAAATATTATAATTTGTCAATGGATTAAATAAATAACTTATTAAGATTTGTCAACAGGGTAAATAAACAGTTTATTTCATTATAATCCTACATAACTAAAATTTATAAGTAAAAATTTTAAAATAATTTTTAAAATAATATTTAAAACATTATAATCTCACGTATCATGCAATACGCAGGTTAATTCCTAGTATATACACTAAAACATGAATAATCATTAGAAAAGATATTGAAATTAACTAGAAAAGAATATTTTTAATATCAGACCAGTCGAATTCTATATTTGTTTCTCAATATAAAAACTAAATATATCGCAACTAACTAGAAGATAATAATTTTAATATCAGACCAATTATTTTGCACTATAGTCCTTACTATTTATCATTATTAAATAAAATTATGAAATTTTTATAAATAACTATAACACACATTTTAAAAATATTACAAACAAGATTAATAAATAAAAATTAGTATAAAATTAAATATACTTATCAAAAAAATAAAAACACACCAACTAAATTATACATTACAAATCACATACCAAATTACTCAATAAAACTATTACCATCAAAGTATTTTGAAATAATAAAAAAAAAATTAGAATTTATTTAATGTTTTATGGACAAACAAAGTTTATAAGAATGGAAAAATGCCAAAAAAACTCTCAACTTACAACATTTAGCCAAAAAAAACTACCAACTACTCAGTAAACAAAATAAATCTTTAACTTTCATTGAATAATCCGTTTAATCCTCAATTTTTTGTTGACCAAGCCATTTTAGACCCAACATTAGTCAAAATTTATAGTTGACTAACAATAAAAATATAATGGCTCCCTAAATAAAAATTTGGGGGTTTTTTATGAATACAAAGTTTAGGATTATTTTGATAAATAAAAAGTTAGAGATTTTTTTGGTTTTTTATCAAAAAGTGATTATTTCCAAATTTTTGGATTAATATAATGGAAAATAATATGGATAATAAAATATTAACAATTAAAAAATATATTTCGTCAGTTGAAAGAAATTACTGATATGAAAAATGAAATCTTTGTTTTCTTTATCACCTAAACATATTTTAAACATAGTATTAAATTGAAATTAGCATTTTTTAAATAAAACCGATTTCTAATAAAGGTAATCAAAATATGATTTTTATTCATAATTACTAAATTTAAATTTTTCGTAAAAAATAATTTCAGCATTTTATTTCTAAAAACATCCCCAACTTTTACTAAACGAGTCATTATAGTTCTATTGTTAGTCAATTATAACTGTTGACTAACGTTGGATCTAAAATGGCTTGGTCAAAAAAAGTTAGGGATTAGATAGTTTAGTCAACGAAACTTGAAAAAGTTGGTGATTTTTTTAGCTGAAAGTTGTGAATTGAGGTTTTTTGGATATTTTTCCTCTAATATAACTGATTTAACTTACAATCAGTCTGAATTAGCGTGGTCGAGATTAAACTAAAAAATCAATAAAAATTGAAGATTAAAATTGTCTAAGTATTTTAGGCTTTTTTAGCTGGAATTTTTAAATTCATAGTTCTTTGGCATTTTTCTCTTTAAAGTTTTTAAATAAATTAATTAATTGTTTTTATATTTATTATGGCTTGATTGGTTACCAATATTATTGTGGCAAATCATTTTTACTACAGGGTCTGGACTCCGGAGCAACTTAAGTCGAACAACGTTCATCTTATATTGGACTTTATTATTCTGTATTTTATTTTTGACTTTTTATTGATCTTTTATTTTTTTTTTCTTTGTATCTCAGCAATGTTTAGATTATACTAGCTAATGCGGTTTGCATTGTAATAATTTTTCAACAATATGAACTAGCTCAATCATGTTTTTTAGAGTGTTTATATTCTACTTTAGTACTTAAGTTTTAGTAACAACACTGCGTAATTGAAAAATGGTAGAACATATATTTTTAATTTATAAAATAGCTTAAAATTTTTGAATAAAAGTTAAAAATGACAAAATAGAAATTATCTAAAATGAATTTTAGTATAATTTTAATTAAGCTTGTATCATACATTATTAATGTATTGGAAAAAAACTGAAAGACATAAAAAGAAAATAAATAGACAAAAAATAGTATAATATAAGCAAAATCTATGCAAAACAGGAATAAAACATATGCAAAACTTAATAAAAAATAATAATATATTATCATGGATTTTCTTACTGTCATAGTTATATAGCAAGATAACATAACAAACAACAACCAACAACGAGACTAATAACTTTAATTTTGTAATAAAAATATAGGAACGAGCTGTTTTCTATATATGTTTTCTTTACCCCACAATCGAACTGAAACCAAACACAAACCAAAATAAAATGCAGTTTATCAGAGACCCTATTTTCCAATGTCCAAAACACCCAAATTTTGAAAAACTCTATATGGAACACAAGCTACCATGAATGTTTGGCACCCACATATAGAAGGATTTGACGAGTTTAGTTTGTGTCAAATCTGGCTCACATCGGGTTCTTATAACAAATGACGTCAACATGTTTTTTTTTAGTTAAAGACGTCAACATGTTTTTTTTCACTAGTTTCTGTTTGTTCTAAATTCATATCTAATCAAATATGTATAATTTGTTTTAGTCATAGGTATACCCGAACTTATATCATGACTACCAGTCGACGGTATGTTTCAATTCCAAATATTACTAACTAAATAATAGTAACAGTTAAAATTATTATTATTATAAGAAAATTTCAAGACTGCTTAGTGTCTAATACGGTCTGTGTACCTTTTGGATTTTTTACTCCTATAGTCATAAACATTGACATAAATGTTTTCTAACCAATAAATAAACAAATATAAATATAGGATCAAAAGCTCGAGAGTTAGTGGCTAGGTGTAATCCTTGACTCGTAGGATATTGGCCGGCCTTTCTTTTCACCTACAAACCGATTACGCAGAAAAAATAGAGTAGAGCAGCGAGATCGTTAACAAGCACCTTTCTGATCGGGACATTACCACACATATGGGATCGGGTTATTTTCCCGATAGCGACTTAGGAAAAGTTGCATATAGCTTATCAAAAAGAAAAGTTGCATATAGTTTATCAAAAAGAAAAGTTGCATATATGCATAACCTCACAGTAGCATTGTCTTAAAGTAATTTCCAGCCACTCCAAGACCTCGTGGTAGGAGCAACTTACCTATACTACTGCACCAAGAAGTTGAACAACACTACTTACCTATACGTCAAACGCAGTTTATGTTCTATCGGACTCGATTATTATGTATTTTACTTTCGGCATGCATTTTGTTGCTTTTTTAGTTTTTTTATGTAATATTAATAAAATAATATATTTTTAATTTATATTTTAAAATAAATTCGAAATTTTACATTTGAATCTAGTTTTGTTATAGATTTCATTTAATAAAGATTATATTATTATTAAAAACTATAAAATAAATTATTATTATATTTTTACAATAATAATAAATTTGATATTAATTTAGATTTAGTTAAAATATTCAAATTTAAATAATATTTTCAATGACAAAGATAAAAATAATATATTATTTTATATTTTTATAAATAAGTCTAAATTTTTTAATACTCAAACTTAAAAATATATAAAATATATAAATAATATGAATGAACGGGATATAATTATGTTTTAATAATTATGGTTCTTTTCAGATTAATATAAATAGACATATTATAATGACGTTAATCGTTGTACTTTCGGATTAATATGAACGGATATGTTAGAATAATGTTTTTCTAATCGCGGTTATATATACTAGAAAAAAATAAACCAATAGAAATAATTATATATAAACAAAAGAAAAATATATATATATATATATATCACTTATTAGAAAATTATATCTAAGCAAACACAAAAACATAAATTATATTATAAAATTTGATAAATTAGAAATAGTTCTCGTGCAGATGCATAAGATAGAATTTAGTAAAACCTTATATTGTAAGTTATAAAGTGTTTTTTGGAGATGCTAGAAATTCAGTTTTTTTAATCTCCATATTATAAACATCTTTATATCTGTCCGAAGATTATGAGTGAAAGATGAAAACATTATTCAACAATCTAATGCAATTTCTATTTTTTTGTCAGTTTAGAATCCCTTGGAGTATCTATTTGATGGTATTAAAAAAAATTAACGATTTGGAGTGCCATAAAATGACAAATAATTTAACGAATTAACAGTTTTAGAGTTTTTAGAGAACACCACCCCAAAGCCACTACGCAATACCTAGTAACATTCGGGATGGTTAAATGTAGAAAAAAAGGATGTGATATCTTTTTCATCAAGTGTATTAATTGGTTTTGTTTGAAATGTTGTATATAAAGCTTATTAACATATATAAGATCATATGACCAAAGATGAAGTGTAATTATGTATATCTAATATATCCAAAGATATAGTCAAATTTATGTATGTTGTACGTTGTAATAGCTATGTTATATGAATTACGAAAGAAGTTAACAAAAAAAAAATGAATTACGATAAGCTCACAAAACCGCAATCATACATTCACCCCACCAAACATATAAAAAGTATATCAGTGTTACTTTTACACAACCAATAAACATGAGTTGGATACATATAAATAACCCAAAAGAAAGTCAAACATTGATATACGTTTATCTAGAGACGATCAACCAAAAAAATACATGTTATATCGCCATTGTGGAAAAATTATCGCGGACACTAACCTTGTCCTGTGTTGTGAGAGAAACCAATACACGATTCCGTTTTCATGTTATGTTCACTGCCAAAAACCAAAAACATGAAGAGAGTGTTTTTGGTTATGTACAGACCAGAAATAGTGATGAAATGAGATTATAGAATCAGCATATTACCGATTGTCTTTTTGAGTAGCCATAGTAGAAGAGCAAGCTCGATGCTGAAGATCATCCGCAACCAAGTTTTGTCCACCAAGAATCCGTAAACAGTGATCCCGGCTTTGTTGTTCTCTAGATAGGTCACTATATATATACAAGAAGAAACCAAAATAGTTAAGGCCAAAAACATTTCTTCCAAATTTCATCGTCTAAATCAAGAATTTTCTTTACCTAAAGCTTGACGTTTCTGAAAAGAAATGGCACGGGCATGGATTGGATGTATCGTGGTATTGTCAAGATCACTGTCTCCTTCTCCTTCTTCATCATCATCAGATGATTGAACAACATTACGACGACGAGACAAAATCTGGAAATGTTGTCTTGAAGTCGGAAATCTAGGAGTTTCTCCATCATGATCAAGACCATCAAACGTGTCTAAAGTTGCGCAAACGTTCCATTTCGTGGCAATGCTCGTCACAGAATGAGCTTTGTGAGTCATCTGTGTTGCACTTTTCAAGCATATGAAAAGCCCTGACACCAAACTTATGGAACATAACTGTCAACAAAAAAAAAAAACAGAGACATTGTTCAAGACACAGATTTCACCTTTGTCAAGTTTAAACATGTAATGACAAAGAACAAAGATTGAACATTTCCTTTACCGCGAGCTCGCCAGCTTCATAGATATGAAAGGGAACACTAGCTCTAATGGTGGTAAGCAACGCCATGAACTGAGTGGCAGTGACGAAAAACAACGACAATAGAATGAACCGCCTGAAACGGTGGCTAACAATCTTTAGTTCACGTCGGATTTTCAAATGCTCGGCGAGCGTGGAAGTGAAATCAGTGATCTCGGAGGCGAAGCAGAGTGCGAAGTCGTCGAGGCGGAGGATCTGGAGGTGGCAGATGATTTGGTAGACGATACAAGCGATGATGAAGAGTGATGTACGGTATAGCCAAGAAGAGAGCTGGAGTGTGCAAGCTAAGACATGGCTCAGTATTGGGTTGAAAATGTAAGGGATTTGGTTTGAGCCAGAAGCATACCACCAGATGCGATAGATGGCTTGAAGCGTTAGCGATGGGAGGACGAAGATAGCCAATAGCTTCATTGATCTCTGCAACAAGAAACAGAGGAGAGATACATGAAAGAAAGATGAGTAGTTTGAGCAAAAGCTGATTTTTTTTTTTTGTGAAATTCAAAAGCTCATAAAATGTAATAATATTCATAAAACAAAATAAAATCATTCAAAATGTTTGTTTCTCAATTTGAACATTTTTATATAGCCTTATAGATAATCTGAAAAATAAATGTTTTAGCCGTAAAAATGTTTTTTGAAGTATATGGAATTATGGATTTAAAGATAAATATCTGTATGCAATTATGCATATTTGCATTTTTATAAAAAACTTCATAGTAAATGTACTGATATTTTGCCATATTCTACTATCTAAGGATCAAGATCATTTCACTAATTACCAATTAGACCCCAAAAATTGAACAAGATTATAAATTCTAATCTTGAAAATCGGTTACTATACTAAAATTAGAAGTATATGGATCAAATTTAGTTTTACCTGGATTTCGGATTCGTATCCGATCCTAACTTTCTCGCTGACGTCTTTGAGCTTATCGAGGAACAAGAGCTTTCGGATACCGTACTTCTTAGACCAATCCGAGAGGCTAACGAACGAGATTCCGGCGAAGATCGACAGCGAAAGCTGCACCAAGGCGTCGTATGGACGGTGGTGTTGGAAATCGCATTCGGCGCAGGTTAGCACGAAGTGGGAGATCATTGGGACGATGACGGCGAGGAGGAAGAAGACGGACCATGAGAGGATAGTTTTAACGCGATTCGATTGGTCAAACCAGAGGAGGAGTTTCGGGAACGAGAATTTGGTCGCTGGTGACTCCGGCGGTTTGTGGATCGGGTCGGGTTGTTTCCCGGAGTTGAGACATTCTCCGGATCGGAGCTTCGATGATTCTTCCATCGGAAGGGCAATTTCGGAATTTTCAGATAATCTTGCGGAGTTTTGGACTTTGGATATTTTAAATCACAGTCCAAATTTAAGGGGAAAGCTAAAATACAATTTCTAGATTTTGTGAGCAACCTGTACGATGAATTTTTTTAAAATTAATATTCAAAAATGTATTATCTATATAGAAAGCCGGCCGTGTAATTTCTTTACCTGGGAAAGAAAAAATATGAAGCAAAATGTAAAAATATTTCGAATTTTTATGTTTAGTCATGTTTTTCTAAAAGATTGAAAATTTTTTTTAAAAAAATTTACCAAAATATCTTTAACAACGGATTTCAATTTTTATCTCCTTTCTAAGAAAATTCACCAAAAGCTATTGAATTTTTTTTAATAATTTGTATGTATCTCACATTGACTATTCATGACTATGTGTCCTAACTTATACGTAACTAGTTAGACGATAAAAACATCCAACAGTTGTTTAAAAGTTTAAAACAGTTTATAAAATGATTGATTTGTTTATGGTAATCAAGGAATCCAACTTTTCCTGTTGACATTTCATTATAGACAAAACACGTCTCCTCTCATTTCCATTTTTTTAATAAAACCCAGCCCCAGCACATGGAATTGTTTTGTTTATGAAAATTCTGATGATATTTGTGCTTTTAATTATGCCTGTCAATGTCGGGGAAAGAAAATCGAGATTAAGAAGCATACTGATTGACTTCGATCGGTGGTAAATTGATAATAGTACTAATATCCAGTTCCAGTGTAATGAAAATTGATAGTAATACTAATAAAAGTGTGATATTTTGTAAACAACAAATTTCACATTTTTTGAAACCGAAGGAGTATAAAAATGTAACATGTTAACTTATAAGATTATGCCACATGCTAAATAATTCAAATTACTATAGTCTTGAAATACTAATGAAGTAACAATCAGTATTTTAGTTAGATGTTTTAAAACTATTCATTAATGTTTGAGACAAATGCATTATTGGCTCTAATGAAATTTCTTTATATATATATTAAAAAAATTAGTATAGTAGTGCATGCAGATATTAAAATTTACTTTAACCGAAGAAAATTTCTTTTGAAAGAATATGGAATTAGTTAATTACTTTACTCACTTGGATCGGTGTCTCGGTGGTGGTTATATGCAAAATATAAGTACTATAAAAGCAAAAAATAAGTAATATTATATAAGAAAAAGAAATGATACCTTCAGTTTAATATATCTACACAAAAAGCGATGATTGGTAGTTATTCCATGACCAATTATACTAAGCATAACAGCATGACGGGATCTAAAAAAAAAAATTTACATTTTAATGGTTGTTCTAATAGGTAGATCTATTTTAGTTTAAACATCTATGATTTACAAGAAAAGATAAGGAAAATTAAAGTGAAATGAAAGACTACAACATATCACCAGATAAACGAGACATTCAAAACCTCATAGATGAGCTGTAAATAAGTAGCAGTTTCACTGATCTCTAGCAAATTAAATAATCTACCAAATCATATATATTTTGCACTCAGATGCATCCACTCAGATGCATCTATCGTGTTTGTGTTCGGCCGGATAATCTAGAGTCTAGAGACGATGTCGGTGGTGATGAGGTGGGTGAGGAATGAAATGGTCTTATCATCCTAAAACACTGAATCGCGAGGTGGTGCAAACTGTTGGCACTGGTTAGGTCCCGTTGCCAACTGTTATGCGAGACCCGATCGAGAAACATGTTATTATCTTCAACGAAGACCAGTACGTCCAAGAAATCATCGAAATATCTTTTGACAAAACTAAGCTAGAGTAATAAAATATGAATCAAATATATATATGAATAAATTATAATATTTTGAATCAATTCTAATTCCGAAAAATGAATTATAATTCTAATTCCTCAAAGTTATTTTTTAATCAAATATTTAATGAAGTATCACCAGAAATGCCTGGTATTTAGCAATATATGTAAGTTTCAGTCACAAAACTCGACAATAACCTATTCACCGAGTTGTGTTATAGACTAGCTATAGCTTTTTACAGTGCTTTGTATGCATTGCTTGAGCTCGTCTTTGATTAATTCAGAGTTTGGAAAACTTAAGGCAATGTTTAATTTAATATAATTAGTGTGTTTATGTTAGTTTGGAAAATGATGAATCTGAGGCTGATCTAGTGCACTATGATTCTTTTCTTTTCTTCTATTATTATAGTGTAACCTTAGTTGGTTAACATGAACTTGGTCAATACGATGATTCTTATCATTGATAGTTTTCTTTGGTAAATTAGTAGCAGTTTCATTGACACGCTGCCGTTTTGAGCTGTTAGCAATTTGTTCGGTAGTCAAGAAACTACAGCGTTTTTGGAAAACTCTGACTCTTCTGGAGGGTTTGCGCTAATAGTCTCTTCGTTTAATCTTGTCAACAAAGGGAACAAACAAACAATAAAGAGTAGAAGTTTGGTGGTTAATTTGATTTTAATTATTTATTGTGAGAAGAATATTCTTTATGATCCTTTATTCGTTTTCTTCCCCAAGAATCTATAACCTTCTGAATCTCTTTCTCTAAAACTCAAAAATATTTTTCACTTTCTAGGAAAATCTCCATCGAAAGCTCTCTTCATTTCCGTTACCATGACGTTGGAGAGTTACGACGGCGATGTTCACATCGTACCACAATCGGAGAACTCACTGCCGACGGCGATCGATACCGAGAAAGAGAGAGGCGGTGAGCTTTTCGTGCCTCCACTTAACTTCGCTATGGTGGACAATGGAATTTTCCGTTCAGGTTTCCCTGAACCGGTTAGTTTCAGCTTCCTACAGTCTTTGCGACTCCGATCCATCATGTAATTTCTCTAATTTTCATTCCCTTAATCCTCGATTTCGATGGGTAACTAGGTCAGCTTCGTCGTCTTAGTTAGAAAATCGTAATTAGTCGCTAATCACTACGAAGAGATACGAGCTAGGGTTTATAGAGCTTTTTGCTACTGTTCTAGCATCAAGCACTAGAGATTGGATCTTAGAAGAAACTCACACGTGTTTTGAGATGTGTGAAATGGTAAACAAATAAATAAAATCCACGGTGTTAGTCTCTAATCACTTGATTAATTTTTCGGTTTATGTTGACTTGGTATTGGTCTTAGATATCTGTGCCCTGAGCCGTATCCAGAGGTGAATAGAGAATTTGCAAAATCAAATGGGATCCAAGTGTTTCAATTTGGAATTGAAAGATGCAAGGTGAGGTTTTGATGATATGATTTAATTGGTTTAATTGGTTTTTGCTCTCGTTACTTCGCTTCCATGATATGATTTCATACTTAGCTTAAGTGCAAATGCTTATCGATTTGAATCATGTTCTTAGTTGCATACTTTGAGGTTATATTGTTGCTACAATTACTCATCCCCAAGATCTCTCATAATTATGGGAATGATTAGTCTTCCTCAATGTTAATCTTTAACTCTTGAATCTCAAAATGAAGTGAAATGAATATGTCTGCGTCTTCTAGGTTGTTGCTTATGTCATGAAACTTGTGTTTAGTTATGTCCATAACATAAACTGTGGTGGTTCAATGATTTTCTTTGTTTTCAGGAACCTTTTGTTAATATACCGGACGAGGTAATCCGAGAGGCATTACAAGTACTCCTAGGTAACCTCTCCAAAACCTCATTTCATTGAGCCTAATGTTTTGATCATCGATCTAAACCATATTTAATCTTGAGTTCTTTTTGCCTTTTTTTTTGTTTACCAGATACAGATAATCATCCTGTCTTAATCCATTGCAAAAGTGGGAAGGTAAAATGAAATCTCTTTCTTCTGATAAACCCTAGCCATGATCTTGTCGAAAGAAAGCTAATATCTTCTCCCTTGGTTTCAGCATCGGACTGGATGTCTTGTAGGTTGTGTGAGGAAGATACAGAGATGGTGTTTGTCTTCTATCTTCGATGAGTACCAAAGATTTGCAGCTTCGAAAGCTAGAATCTCAGACCAGAGGTTCATGGAGCTTTTTGACATCTCCAATCTAAGGCATTCACAACTTACCTTCTCATGTTCCAAGAGGTTTACTCATTGATTACGGGAAAGTGAAGGCAAAACGTTCAACTTTCTTTGTTGAATTATATAGTTTTTTTTTTTTGGTTAGATGAAAAATGAAATATGTTTATCAGTCAATAAAAAAGGATCCTTTTTATTCCAAAGTATATAAATAAAAAACGTAAGGGATCTGATGGTACGAGACGCTCCTTTTAAATCCTATCATGTAGAACACACAAGTTTGTCATAAATTTTTCTATTGTCTTTTGTATTCAGCTTGAATATTCATAACATAAAGGCAAATTGAGCAAATACTCAAACGAAAAACAATCAGAAATTAGAATCTTTTATATCCAACAAATTGGCCAATCACAACTGAAGCTTACCAAAGAGAGAAATGATTAGAATGTAGATTTAAAATTTTTAAAAGTGTAACGTAGTCTGTGCTGAATTAAATATTTATAGGGATATATCCAAAAATTAATATAATATCCAATCGTAATTCGGAAGAAACTGAAAAGCTTTTTAAACCCCTGCGAAACACGAATTTTTAAACAGTCCCTCTCTCTCTTTTTCTCTCGCTATTGGATTCTTATATGGTGGAGGTTTCTTTCGAGTTACATTCTTATTTATTTATCTCGTAGTATTTTTCTGTCAAAAAAATTTCCTTGAGCGTCTGTATCTGAGTCGAGAATGAGTGAACTCGGTCTCGATACCAGTCAGGCTACACCTCAGACAACGACATTTCTCGATTTGCTCCGGGGCCAGATGGACGGCCTTGATCGAACCAGGAGAAGAAAACGGACTCTCAAGGAACGGCTAGGATTCAAAAATATCGGATGCTGTGGGCCCACCTGGGGTCTCCGATTAACCAATAACACTCGCGCAAGAGAAGTAGACCAACCATACGAAACCGGACTCGATTCCGGTTCGGATCATGTGACGGGTCCGTTAAACTCCGGTATGAACCTCGCGACGGCGTTAGCGGCGGAGAGACATTACAGAAGAGACCCAACTGAGGAAGCAGCGTCTGGAAGTTTGACGCCGTTAAGGGTTTCGTTGATGAGATTGCTGGAGGAAACGGCGGAGAGAGTAGTCGGCGAAGGGAAGGAAACGGAGAGATTAACGGCGTCGTCGGTTAGAGGTAATGATTCGGTGTGTTGCGTGTGCATGGGAAGGAAGAAAGGCGCGGCGTTTATCCCATGTGGACACACTTTTTGCAGAGTCTGCTCTCGAGAGGTGTGGCTTAATCGGGGATCGTGTCCCCTCTGTAACTGTCCGATCATCGCGATCCTTGACATTTATTGAATCATTTGAATCCTACGGCTGGTAGAAGTCCGTTGCACGTGACTTGAGTGATTGTGGTGCCTAGAGATTCACGAGTGTTACAATACGAAATTTAATTACGTTGTCTATGTTTCCCTTATTGGAAATTGGAATATTATTGAAGATCAAAAGTATACGTAATTACGTATGTTACCTTTTTATCATTTTATAAGATTTTTGGGTTAAAAATGCCAAAACAAAGAAACTATAAATGTTTTAATTTTCTATTTAAAAAGTATATTTAATATTTAATTAAAAACAAATCAGTCAATAACAATATAACAAATACAAATGGTCTAGTATTAATGAGTATAATTGTCATTATTTCTCCATGTTAACTGACTTAGAGATTCATTGACTACAGTAAGTTTCAATGTGTATGCTTATTTTTAGTTTTGTTTCTAACTTCTAACTCTTAAACCTTTTTCAAACTAACTACTATTAATTATAATTTGGATTTCATATCAATAAAGGTTTTTCTTGATCCTTTTTTCAACAAATTTATCGTTTACATGATTAAATGTTACAAAGCGATAGAACAAACAAAAAAGCATCTCAAGTGATGAGGTTTTAAACAGATGAAGTTTTAAAAGCATTGGTGATAGTCCTTCTTCCTCCTTCATTCTTGATAGTTAGGTTCTTTTCATATCTATAAAAAATTTTCTTGATCCTTTTTCAATAAATCTATCGTTTACAGGATCAAATGTTACAAAGAGATAGAACAGCAAAAAAAAACGTCTCAAGTGATGAGGTTTTAAACAGATGAAGTCTTAAACAGATGAAATCTTGAAATGGCTGGTGGCAGTGCTTCTTCCTCCTTTTGATAGTAAGATCTTTTTCCAGATAACAACTCCGGGACTCGTCATGCTGTCGAGAATCCCTCTGCTGCTATTGTAGACGTCTCAGGCTGAGCGAGCATAATTCTTATGTTCTTCCTTTAAAGATACATCATACTCTTTTTGAATTCTGAATCACCAGTTATCAAGAGAAAGACTGTTGGAAAAGCGCAAGGGTGAGGCTTTTGGATGAGGTTGTGATGGGCTTTGCCATAGAGATGTCTCGTGATCTTGAGATCAGTCGACTCTGGTTTAACTAGATAAAGACCCACATCTGTTATCATTTTATCACAATCCGATCTAGCCAAATTATTACAATCCTGGCACAAGAAATATCGTTCAGGAGCATAGCAGAACTTTGTAAAGGCTGACATGTGATTAATTGGAAATGGAAACTCTGTCCCATAGAAGATAACAAAATCCACAGTGTAATCTTCATTAACAGGCCTTAGAACTTTGTTCAGAGCTTTGTTAATCTGATATCTGAGATAATAGTCTGTTGGTGTTGGATTTCCGTTGAGATCCCAAAGCAGCTCCACTCTAACTTTACCTGATCGACTCGACATGGTTTTTATGCTCATATTTTGTGTACAAATATCGTGACAAGCTCTAGGTATTCATAGGAGAAAGAGATTCATACACTAGTAGATTGAGTTTTTTTTTATAAAAAACTGGTGAGTTGACTAATGGTCGTGGAATATACTTATTATTTTTTGGTAGCTATGTTTATTGTATTTATATGCTGGTGAGTTTTGTATGATCATATACATATATGAGATGAAAAGATCGTTACTTTTGCATTTTTATTCACTCATTGACATATTAACATACTTTATTTAAATTATAATTAGTTTTATACAGAAAAATTATATATATGGGATTACTAGACTATCCATGGTATATATATATTTTTTTATAAAGAACCTTAGACTGTCAATAGTGTATTATTAATATATTTGTCTCTTTTTTTTTTTTGATAAAAGGCATTAAATTGTTCATACTATTTAATTGTTTTAAAAGTATGTCTATCCCATTGCTATTTAGTATCTACCATTAGTCAGGATTTGGGGACAACCAATTGAAACATTGGCCTTTAACCCCCTTTTTTTGACATTATACATGAATATTTTAGCTTTCAAATTACAAAAAAAAATATTAATAGTTCTTTTAAATTGTTTACAGCCTTCAAATTCTCACTTCTCAGATCCGGCTTTACCATAGTTAGTCATATTGATATGCTAGATTGGAAACATAGCAAAAAACAAGAAACAAGATGTTATAAAATATATTGGATTATACATTTAGAAATAGCTTTTTCCCCAAGCTTCTTAGTTGTTAAGTATTCATCTTCCCTAGATATTTATCTCTTTTGGATCACTTTGTTCTCAAGTTCCTATAACTTTGTCTCCAAGCTTCTTCACTATATATAAGTGAGCTTGGCTTTGTAAATGTAATAACATAATCTTGTGAAAGAAATAACAAGAGATGTTTGATGTTGTTCTTCATTCTTTGATGTTGTTCTTCATTCTTTAACTCTCTCTCTAAGTCTCTTTTTTATAGTGTTCATATATACGAACATCTTTCCAAAATTGTATTTCACAACACAAGATAGTTAATATAGACACAAATAAATCAATAGTAGCTGATGTTTTCTCAAAACTTTTTGTAAATTTCTTTGAGATAAATAATCTTTGATGTGATATTCCAAATGTGACTCTGAACTATTCACATGGCCCATTTTAACAAGTCACACATAACCGAATATATACAATCTCAAACAACCATGAAACTGATGTTTGCATATGTCCCAGTATAAATTTCTCGATTTTGAAATCTTGAGTAATAAAAAAAAGTGGGATACTGTATTTCCATGATTGAATTTTATATTTATATGAACTTTGTAATGTGTCAAAAAGTAGTTTGTCGTTTTATTCGAAGCGATATAATAGGTTACAATCATACAAGTAAATTTAGCATATATCATGATTATGATTCCCATCCACACAAATCACCAACATATAAACGAAGGGAAGAGTTATTGGAAGTTGGATTTATAAGAATTTTTGTTGATTTTAAAAGTCATAAAATTTGTCAAATTTTCAAGAGTTTTGTTGGATTTGTAAAATTTGGAGAGAGATTTGTAGATTTAAATAATCCACAAAATATTTTTTTATATTACATACTTTGACAATCCAAAGGATATAGGTAGTATTTTGAGAATCATGATTTATGATTAAATTATAAAGAATCATTATCCTAATAACACTAAATTATAGCAAAATCATAAAATCATTCAAATGCAAACTTTTTGAATAACAAGAAATTTTATTAGATTATAAAAATCACAATAACAATGAATTTTTATAATCTGTAAACGAATAACAGTAAAATCTATTAAGAATGTAAAAAACCACAAACAAATAATTATAGAATCTTAAATTCTGAAAAATTTCATAAAGCAACCTCCCAATAACACCCCCGATTATTTTTATACAAAAACGAACTTACTATAAATTTTTGAAACCAAACCAAAAAAAAGTTTTGGTTCGAATTCATATGCATTTTCCAAACACTGAAAAATCTGAAAGGGACTTAATTATATACCGAAGGTTTGACAATACAGTATGAAATTTTGTGACCGGTTGAACATATTTGATACAAAACTAGTTATACAAATAGACATTTTTGGCTAATGAACGGACATAAAATTCAGTAATTCACTATATAGACTCATTAAATAGATATTACTAGTTAGGTAGTAACATGCGCTCTCCACAGACTTAAACCTTTTTGGAAATTTTACTTAAACTTTGTTTTTAAAATCATAAAATTAAAAAAAAACTAGTTTTAGTGTAAGTCGTTACATTATTATAGTGGTAAAGTAGTAAGATTAAATAAAAAAAAATAATAATAATATTTTTTTTTGATATAATCATGGTTGACTCTAAAATGAGGATTATTGTTTATAAAAAAATAAAATCATGAACCATTTGATTATATTATTCCGAAAAAATATTTGACAGCTGCAATAGTATGAGTTTTTATTTTTTAAAGTTCAGTGTGTAACATAACATATATCTATTCTAAACATTTTAAAAAATAAGATAAAATTATATAAATGATATAATAGTAATAAATCTGGTAAGCTGATCCTATTTTCAAAAAAATTCCTAAGAAGTTCTTTAAGATTGACACCTCAGCATAATACTCATGTAAATAATATATGAAACAAATATATTTTTTTAAGTGTTTTTATTAATAAATAATATAAGATTGTGATTCTATCGCCGTATCGTTGAAGTGTGAAAACGCCAAACGCAATAATTCACAGTGATTAGATATATTTAACATATTATAACAAATCTCGACCATCCACAAAATAACATCATAATAAAACGGTCAAAGGCATAGTACATACACTTCCGAAGCTGCTAGATCCATCATGCCATTCGCATGGCGTTTCTCAAACCAAACAAATTCTTCCGCACACAAATATTAAGAAAAAATTTTCAAATATTAATCATTAAAATGGAATTAACAATTAAAAATTTAAAAAGTTACCACAGAATTTTTTTTTGGATTTTCATAAAGTCGGAATTTAGGTCAATAACCAAAAATAATCCTCGCTCACACGAGGCCAACTTGACTCTTTAACGGTTAATCGATTATCTTAGCTATTCACGTGTCAATAATTGTTACATCCATGAGTTAAAATTCAAAAGGTCATTCTTCAATGTTTTAAATTATCATCGTTGTGTGATGAAAAACATGCTAAAAAATTGATGGTTTTGTTTTGGAAGAAAACTCTCAAGCTAGTAAAATTTTGCAAGCAAATCGAAAATTAGCATCTATCTCTGCCACCAGTAAAACTACATTGCAGTATGCTTGCAGAAGACGCTATCAAAAAAAAACTAGAAGGTTGAAAAAAAATATTGTTGTAAAAAACATAAATATAAAATTTTAATTTTATAAGTCCCATAAAAATATTTTTAGATAAATACGAAGCAATAAAACTCTAACGGTGAATGAAAAATTCGAAGAAAATGGAGATGAAGAAAACAACGAAGAGCATTTGATTGCACAGGAGATGCTCTCAGTGTTCCCCAATTCTACATACATTAGGAGAGGGGTTAACTCCTCATTACGTAGGGTTAGTATCAAAACTCAACACTGTTTCAAAGTTATATGTATATATGATTAATTTCTGTTTTTTTTTAAAAGTTTTTTACCGTTTAAACGTGTTTATGCATGTATGGATCTGGCATGCGCAGATCATAACAGTAACAAAAAAAGGGGGGGGGGGGGGGGAGGGGGTGTAGTGTACATCTCTCATTCTCGCTCATACAACAACTTACATATGGAAACGGTCCGTCTTATATTCCTCCTCTTGTTATATTGGGTTTATATCCGAGTTTAGACCTCTTGTGTCATATCTTTGCATTCTTGTTTGGTTTGCAGATGTTTGTAGATAGCATCGTTATCATAAGCTTGCTACATTTAGGGTTTTAAACCTCATCACACGGGTGGATTCACCAGTATCAGCTTAATCTGTCTTTGTATACACATAACTTTGGTTTGCATATATGTAATTGCTCATTTGCTTTTTTTTATTATTTTTTTTTTTTTGTCTTACAGAATCATGCAAATCCCACGAGCCGCGCGCCTCTATCCGCACGTTCATATGCATGGTTTTAAAACTCCGGCCAGTGATGGCACAGCCAGGTCAAAAACTAAATAATTAATGCTTTATTCATACTGTTTAACACAAAACTTTGTATCTCATAATGTCATGTATATTTTGTTATTTTCATATTTCTTTTTCAGAATGATAGAATCACTCTCTATTCCCCTAGGTCCCTCTTTCCCCTGGAAGGAGTCTTGCATGGTTCGAGTACCAAAAGGATCTTATTTTTTTCTGACAACATCGGTAATAAACTTGCCTCACCCACTTTTTCATCTCTTAGTTTTTTGTCTGACTATATAAATAATAAAAAATCTTTAACTTATATTTATATACTTGGATCGATGCACTCGTGTTCAGTTTCTGCTTTGAGCAAGCAGTTGCAGGAGAAAGTTCAAGTGTTCGCACACAAACACTGCAGGTTAGGTTAGGGGTACTTGTCAAATCTTTTGCTTTTGCTGACTTTTTGATGTGTCTTTTTGCATCAACGAAAATATATGGAGATGTAGCATTTAACAAATATCGTGATTATGATTTCCATTTGCACAAATTACCAACGAATAAACGAATTAATAGTTTTTTCCAAAACCAAATCAAACTGAATATAAATGTTTTTATATCAAACCAAATAAAACTTTGGTTCCAATTCATATGCATTATCTAGACCCTAAATAATCTAAAACGAATTTATTTAACCTAATGTCAAGTAGTATGAAATTTCATGACCGGTTGAACATATTGGATACAAACTAGTTTTTGCATTCGAATGTGTCTTTTTGGTTACCGAATGCCCATAAAATTCACTATCTAGACGACTAGACACATTAATCAAATTCTATTTTCGATCTATCTCTATATCGTTATTCTCAAACGCCAAACGCAGTAAGTGACAGCGACTAGAAACGCTGTCTAGACCGTCCACAAAACCGACGATCGAACATCACAAAAAACGGCCAAAAAGCATAGTACACTTCCGAAGCATCTAGATCCATCATGCCATTTGCATGGCGTTTCCCAAACCAAACAAATTATCCCCACACAAATATCGGGACAATAATTCCAAATATTACAAAACTTTTATGGAATAAAAACAATTAAAATGTTACCACAGAAATTTATGAATTTTCATAAAGTCGGGATTTCAGGTCAATAATCCTCGCTTCACACGAGGCCAAGTCGATTCTTTGACGGTTATGTTAACCATTCACGTGTCAATACCGTAGCTTAGTTCATCTGCTATATCGAAATACCAATATTATCCCTTAGGTGTCTTCGTCTTGTTTGATCAATTTTTAGCAAATGGAGGGTATATATGTCATTCAACATCCACGCTCAACGATTATAAAACACGACTTGGAATTTCCCATTTCGTGAGGTTCGAGCTTGTTTCTCTGGATCGATACAAAAATGGCGACAGTGCCTTTGTTCAGTCAATTTCCCTGCAAAACCCTAATTCCAAGCTCATCGAGTTCTAAATCCCAGTCGAAATCTCCAATTCTAGTGCCCATAAATTCAATCAATCGGCGATCGGAGGTCGGAATCGCTGTTCATCGGCCGGATTTCAAGGTCCGAGCCACCGACGTCGATGACGAGTGGGGTACTGATGCGGCGGAGAGAGGATCGAACGTATCGGTGGCGGAGAAATCAGCAGAAGAAGCCATCGAATCAGTGGAGGAGACGGAGCGGCTAAAGAGACTGCTTGTGGATTCTCTGTACGGAACCGATCGAGGTTTGAGCGCATCGAGCGAGACGAGAGCTGAGATCAGCGAATTCATCACGCAGCTCGAGTCTAAGAACCCTAATCCAGCCCCGAACGAAGCTCTGTTTCTCCTCAACGGCAAATGGATCCTCGCGTAAGTAATATATCCTTCGATTGTGGATTGCTTTTCATTTTTCCGGTGAATTTTTTCCCGGTGGATTCCGATTTACTCGTCTTCCCTTGCTTTGACTTAGATAGTGAAGCATCCTGTGTGTTTTGGTTATTCGATTCAATTAATCGATTTGTGATACTAAAACGAGAGATTTTGAAAGATCTGATTCGATTTAGTTAAGACTAGTCGGAACAAACTGTCAATTAGCGGATTAGGAAAAAAAACGGTGAATTCTTATGTCTTCCGGGAAAATTCAGATATTTTTTGGGGAAAATGAAAATGAGTCTTTTGTTTAAGAATTAAGAACTTATCTTCAATGGTTACTATCTCGTGCAGGTACACATCGTTCGTGGGTCTGTTCCCATTGCTCTCACGCAGAATCTCACCGTTGGTTAAAGTGGATGAGATCTCACAAACCATTGATTCCGACAGCTTCACCGTACAAAACTCTGTCCGGTTCGCAGGTCCACTTGCCACAACATCCATTAGCACCAACGCCAAGTTCGAAATCCGAAGTCCTAAACGCGTCCAGGTTAATTAACCAAATCATATATCATCTACAATCCGCAGCACATGTCAAATGCTCATTTTACATAACCAAAATTTTGTTTTTCTTTCTGTTTGTTGTAGATCAAGTTCGAGCAAGGCGTTATCGGGACTCCTCAGCTAACTGATTCAATTGAAATCCCAGAATTCGTCGAGGTTCTTGGCCAGAAAATCGACCTTAACCCCATCAGAGGGTTACTTACATCGGTCCAAGACACTGCTTCTTCAGTGGCTAGAACCATTTCAAGCCAGCCACCTCTGAAATTCTCTTTGCCTGGAGACAACGCTCAGTCGTGGCTACTTACGACATATCTCGACAAAGACCTTCGGATCTCGAGAGGTGATGGCGGAAGCGTCTTCGTGCTCGTCAAAGAAGGAAGCTCTCTCTTAAGCCCTTGAATCATCATTTACTCACATCACATCCATATAGTAACATATATAGAATCATAAGTCTCTGTTTATAATAGTGTTGTAACTTTTATATAGCTTCTTTACCTGTTGGAGAGGTCTGATGGATGTTACCCTCGGAACATATATATACACAATACGTAATTACACCAGCCGGTCAACGGTTTATATACCAACACATGAGCACTGATTCAGATTTGGTGAAGTCGGATAATGAAAAGGTTATCACAATACCAGGAGGGTTTGAAATTCAGTACGTCTTTGGGTTCGGTTTGGTTCGATTTTCTTAGGTTTGTAAAAGGTTATAAAACCGATATTAGTTCGATTTGATTCAGGTAGCTAAAACTGATGTAGTTCGGTTTGTCATTTTGGTTTGGTTCAGTTTTCTGTAATTTAGGTTTTTAATTTCGGTTAATACTGACCTATCTGTTTATGAATCAGAAACCCGGTTCGTTACAAACTCGGCATGTTACACAAACATTTGAAAGAAACAGCCGATCTTTGTTCTTTTTTAGTTACGATCCCCAAACTATTAAGTTTTACTGATGTATTTTTATAGTTGTTTGTGAATTTATGCATTGAGAATCAGCCAAGTACCAAGCACACAAAAAAGCTTGCACAATGTGCACTAAAAACTCAAGGAGGTTGCAGTGTATTGGACATTTGCAACACAAATGCTATAGAGGAACACACCTAAAAAGAATAAGAAACAATAAACAAAATAAGATAAATTTGTATTATTAGATCAGATATCTCCATCTAAGGTGTCCACATCAGCAAACCCATAAATAAATATGTATTAAATACATATATATTTATATTTATTATTAGTATATTAAGTATAATTAAATTTAATAAAAAGGATTTTAGTGTTAAAAAGAAATAAATGACAATTAGATATCAATAATTAAATAACTTTATAATATTAACTAAATTAAAAATATCTATATTTTATTAAAAATAATATATTAAACTGAAAAAAAATTAGAAAAACAATGCTAATTAAAAAAAATACAAAAGACAATTAAAAATAATTAAAAATAGAAGAAAAAAGATTAATCAAAATATAAAAAAAGAAGATGAAGACTAAACAATATCATAAGAAGAAGATAAAGAAAAACCAAAAGAAAAATAAGAAGAAAAAGAAAAGAAGAAGAAATAGAAGTCGAAGACCATGAAAAGAAATTTGAAAAAAAAATAAGAGGAAGAAAAACACAAAGCTGATGAAGAAAATTTTTAGAAAATATGAAGATAAAGACGTTAAAGGTAACAAGGAGAACAAAAGAAATTTTAGAAAGTATTAAGACAAAGACGTTAAAGCTAACAAATGAGAACAAAAGATGAAGATAACAAACTATGAGAATATGAAGATGGAAAAGAAAAAAAGTATAAAAAAATATAAAAATACACAAAATAAAAAATTAATAGAAGTTAATAATATAATTAAGAAAAATTTATTGTTATATAGAAACACTAATAAGGATAACTAACATAACACAAGAAAAATATAAAAAATTAATTATTATACTAAAAAAATATCAAACAAATTGTTTATTAAAAAATAGCATATAAAACATATAAAATACAAACACAAATTAAAATCCACTCGAAGCGCCGGCTCAACCCTAATTTTTCTAATTATGGTGATTAAGCCTAGTTTGAGGTAATTGCAGTTAAGAATTGTTCTACTTAACTTGTCCTAATTTTAGGTTAACAAGAACACATAATCAACTCTAAGATTTAAATACTATAAGCAAGAAAAAAAATTGACATTGTGTACAATTTATATACCTAAAATTTTGATTAGACATCACACTATTATAAACCATCTAAATCAATAAATCTATAAATTTTGGTATACATGTTTGATGAATATATTCATGGCAAACTCTAGAAAAACGTAAATTTTTTTGTGACATTATCTCCTGTATGTCAGTTTATGTTATATCTATGTTTATTAGCACAATTTGTTTTTTTTTTTTTTTTTTTTAACTTAATCTTATAGGTTTTTTTGTTCTTGTTTCGAATGTATCCTACACCTCCGAGAATGAAAGTACTCCAATTCCAGCGATAAACAAAGATGAAAGACTGTCTAAAGAGATTGATGGTTTCCTCAGCTCATTATAGCTAGTTCGGCTGAATAGGAAACCGCTTCATTTCCAGAAAGAACCAAAACTTGAAAAAAATTTGCTAAAAGGTAAGTAATCCTTAGTATTATCGTTAGTATTATCCACATTTGGAACGATAATCTTGGTCCTGTTAACAAAGATAACAAATTAGAAACAGATAACAGATAGTTAACATGAAAATTAAGGGATAAAAGAAAGAAAACTTACAATGCTAAACTATGTAGCAACATCAATGTATATCTCAGAGGATTCTCCAACGTATACCAGAATCCATCTCTATAAGAGATATCATCGCTAGGACCCAAAAAAACTTTAGCTTACATTCCAGCCATATGCAGACGATCTAGTGATCTTGGAACAATGTTCCAGACCCCAGAAACAATAGTAATCACAAAACATGCAGTGGCAACAGATTTTAATCGTTTGATGCAGTTGCTGCAAATTTTAACATTTGATATGAAATAAATCACAAGAGCACAAGACAAAATCAACCGATGACATGATTCTATAACACATGCTTAAAAACCTTATGGAAAATCAAACCAAATCCAAATAATACCTGAAAGAGGAGCAATCACTCGGGGACATCTCTGTGAGGTTGAGCTTGATGACAATCTTAATTTTGCTGATGAATAAAACTTGGGGAAGCACACCCTTGGATTAGCACACTTCTTTGGAATTGGACTAAGGTTCGTAGTTCATTAATCATGGTCACACAAAAGGTAAACACAGCCTCAATATATGTGAACCATTGATTCCGACAGCTTCACCGTAAAAAACTCTGTCCGGTTCGCTGGTCCGCTTGCCACAACATCCATTGGCACCAACGCAAAGTTCGAAATTCGAAGTCCTAAACGCGTCCAGGTTAATTATCAAATCATATATCATCCACAATCCGCAAATGTTAGATGCTCATTTTACATTACCAAAATAGGTGTTTTTTTTTTTTTTTTTTTTTTTTTTTTCTGTTTGTTATAGATCAAGTTCGAGTAAGGTGTTATGGGAACTCCTCAGCTAACGGATTCAATTGAAATCCCGGAATTCTTCGAGATTCTTGGCCAGAAAATCGACCTCAACCCCATTAGAGGGTTACTTACATCCGTCCAAGACACAGCTTCTTCAGTGGCTAGAACCATTTCGAGCCAACCACCATTGAAGTTCTCTTTGCCTGGAGACAACGCTCAGTCGTGGACCACTTACCACATATCTTGACAAAGATGAAAGACCTTCGGTTCTCAAGAGGTGATGGCGGAAGCGTCTTCTTGCTCATCAAAGAAGAAAGCTCTCTCTTAAGCCCTTAAATCATCATTTACTCACATCTCAAGTCTCTCTATTTATAATAGTGTTGTAACTTTTATATAGCTTCTTTACCTGTTGGTAGCAGTGTCAATTGGGCTGTCCATGTCCAAATGGGTTTGTCCAAATGGGCTTTTTTATTTTCTGGACATTAATGGTCCACACCCAAATAAGACCATGTCTAAATAAGACCAAAACCATTTTGGACCATGATTAATTGGGCTGTCCATAAGTCCAAATAAGAACATTTTCTAAATTACTTAATTGTAGCAAAATAAAGAGATTCAAAACATGAGTTTAACTTAATTGCAGCAAAAAACGAGATTCAGCTTACAAGATACAAGTTCAACTAAAACATTGTCATAAAAAAGATAAAAGGGAGATAAAGACATTAATAGCTTCTATGTTGTTCGGATCTTCTTTCTTCCACTTTCACCATCATCTTCTTCATTGTCTTCATATGGCTCAAACTCGGAATCACCTATTATAAAGTATCAGCAATTTCATATGATCAATGTATAAAAAATAATAATCAAAAACAAAACAACAATACAAGCATACGACAGAAAGTGATTATGATATTAACTCAAGATTGATGTAAACTTACTGATTACTTCAAAGCCACGCAGCCAATTTCTTGTACAAATCAGAGCTTGGACATTTGATGGAAGAAGCCGGCTCCTATACTTGTTAAAAACTCGACTCCCAGCACTGAATGATGACTCAGAAGACACTGTTGTTATGGGAATACAAAGCACATCATAAGCCATCCGAGACAGCTCTTTGAACCGTGATGCATTGTCTTTCCAATATTTTAAGACATCCAAACTTTGAAAGGCAACCATATCCAAGACAGGTTCTTCCAAGTACATTTCTAATTCTGATTTTTCAGTTGCCACTTTCTGAGAAAAGAATGCATAAAAGCCCTGCAAATGCATATCCAAAACATGACTGATTAAGAAGAAACCACAATGCTTATAAAACCGAGATAAAATCACAAAAGTAAAGTGATTATTTACATCATATCCAGCTGGTAAGTTATCCTCTGAAGTGGTTAGTGAAGTGCTTGCAACTGTCTTCTTTGGATTCTTCTTATAAACTCCATACAGCTTTGTCATCTTTTTACGGATGTGATCTACCTTAGACTTGCTAGTTGATGGATCTAAAGTGCCAAAACAGTATTCCAAACAAGCCAACTTCAACCTAGGGTCTAAAACAGCAGCAATGGAAAGTATATCACTGTAGTTTTCCCAGTATTTGTCAAACTTCAATTTCATTGCTTCCACCATTTTATAGATCGTGTCATCATCAGAAAACTTCATGCTCTCTTAACCAGCTTTCTATGATAGTTTAATATGAGTTTCTATCTACCAATATGTCTTTTATATCTATCATTATGCATATATTTATAAAAATTTTAGTTTATAAATTCTCTAATATAACAAAATTAATCTTTAAAAATGAATAAATTTTAAAAAATAATTAAAATAATTATAAAAATTAATCTCCACTGGTAGAAGAATAATAATTAAAATAACTTAAGAAGAATAAAAAAACCCCAATTTAATTTAACCTAAAATTTTTAGACCATTGGGCCGACCAAAAACCATATGGTTTGACCCATTTATTTTCTGGACAAAACTGGACCATAACCATTTAGACCCACTAGTATTTGGGTATGTCCATAACCCGTCCATTATAATTTGGACATGGATCACCCATGGACAGCCCGCCCATTTGACACCTCTACCTGTTGGAGAGTTATGATGGATGTTACTCTCCAAACATAATACACAATACGTAATTAAAGCGGCCGGTCAACGGTTTATATACCAACACTTAATCATTGATTCACATTTGGTTAATACAGATCAGTCAATTTATTAATCAGAAACCCGGTTCGTTACAAACTCAGCATGTTACACAAACATTTGAAAGAAACAACCCATATTTGTTCTCTTTTAGTTACGAACCCAAGAACAAATCAGCACAAACCTCGTAAAAGATCTCGAGAATTGCAGACCGATACTCGCGAGGATTCATCGATAAATAGTACTCCAAGAGGCTTCTAAGTTCATTTGCTTCTCTGATGTTGTTTGCTACAATCATCTCGACCATGGACTCTCTGAAATCCTTTCTTGGGTCATAAGAACATTTCTCCATCGCCATCATCACTATGAACTTAGTGTTACTGATGCTACTCTTGCTTCTTCGTCTTCTTCTTCTTCTCATCTGTTGTTGCCTTAGCTTCTCTTGATGTGTGGCTTCCTGTGTCTCTCTGATCATCTGCTCTAGCTTTTCCTGAACCATGTAGTGTGTTAGGCTAGAGAGCGAACAGTTCTGGTCTGAAAATCTAGAATGTTTGTCTGATTCCACCGAGGAAGAAGAAGAAGATGAAGAAATGCTGACTCTTGCTTTGCTGTTGCTGCAACACAAAGCTCTGCAGATTCTTGCTTCTCTTGTTTGGTGTTGTGACGGTTTGTTCTGTTTTTTGATGTCTTTCTCTGTTTCTTCTTCTGCTCTGTTTGTGATTTTCATGTTGAATGTTAAGTCACATTATAGTCTAGGGGTTTTGAGAGTGGTGATGTTTGTAAACGCAAATAAAAAGCAATTTACAATTTTAATTATTTATGTGACACTGGAAATGTGGGTCATGTTCATCATGATTATGTCTTGATCGTAATTCACTTAAAAACTGAAGAAAATATACTTTTTAAATTATAGACTAATAGGTCTTAACGTTATTCATATTTGTTTCAAATTAGTTTTTTATATCTCTAAAACTAATATCATCATATTTTGTTTGTAATGCAATGCGGAGTTGTACACTTGGATTTACATAAGAATTTGATTTCTTTGCCAAGACTGGATCATTTCGACTGCAAGAGTGAAACGAGTGAACTTAGTTTTGATTCATGATTTAAAATGAAAAACAATGACTAATGAACTATATAAGATTTATTTAAGAGAAATATGTTTATACATTCTGAAATTTCATATATCAAATCAAAAGCTGGGAATAATGGAGAAGATTAGGTACGATTGATGATATTTGAAAAGAAATACTTATGAAATAAAGTGAGCTAAATGCATGTATTTGCGTGTGTTTCGAAAAATAGGGATGTTTAATTTGATTATGATGTTATGTAGACTCCACGCCTACTTTATTTCGTAGTTGTTGAAGATGAGATATCTAAACTTTATTTTGTAAAGTTTTTGGTAATGTTTAAAAGTTAACTCCATTTTTTTTTTCTTTTTCATTTTCTCAAACGAGATATTAGATTTCAAATAGTCCATAATTGTTATGCCATACATGATTTCATTAGAACCTCTATTTTTTTCTTTTTCATCACACTAAAACCTATATAATGCAATTTCATTTAGCGGGGCTTCACAATTTCATGTTATACAAAATATATCGTAAGAGTATAAGACATCGGAGATAAGGTATGGTACTTTTATTTGAAGTTAAAAACGTACGTATATGGTTGTTGTCTTGGCGACAACTAACAATACATGCTTTATCTTGCTGGCATGTTCTTAAACCTCATTTTTGCTTTGAGGTTTTAGAAATTTTATAATATATTGTATTTTTATTAGTGGGAAGTACTAAATTTTCTTTGAACATTTAAAATACATATATTGTGAACAATTGGAGCTGAACCAGGACACAATGATACCGTGTACAAGAAAAAATTATCTTCTTAAACCTGAAAATAAGAATATAAGATATTTACTTATATAGTGTTAGCATATAACTTCTATTTATAGAAGAATTTATTTATTTTGTTAAAATTGACAAAAAAGTAAAAAAGCTAACTATATTGAACTTCCGAATCCAATTTTACACAGCTTTAATTTGTATTTGTTAAACAAACTAATGAAAAAAGATTAACTTATAAGTAAAAATGATGGAAAAAAAATTATCTCTTTGATTTAAATAAGTGAATGTATAATATTTTATTATCATGTTAATACTATGTTTAAAAAGTAACATTTGATTAAGTTGTAAAAATTTTAGTTGGTTTTGGTATATTAACTTATAAGTGTTTGACTAAATAATATATTTTTGAAATATGATATACTGTATATAGATTCAAAACAAAACCGTTAAAATATCACAATGTACATAAAAATTATTAGATCAACACTATAATATTTTAATATATTATTAAAACACTAATATATAAAATTTATATAATAATAAATATAATTAATTGCATATTATTTTTATCAACAAAATACCCACGCATAGCGTGGATGCAAAATCTAGTACTAATAAAAGTTGAAGCTAAATGCTTTTCAAGGCGTCCACATAGGATTTAAAAGACTAATTTTATTGGCCCACATCAGCATTCAAAATTAAGGAAAATTTCCAATTTTTAATATTATTGTTGAATAAGAAAATTAAGAAAGTTTACAAATTGTAATATTATTTCTGAATAAAAAATTCTGTATAATTTTTTAATTGGTCCACCTCAACATTGAAAATTAAAGAGTTTCCAATTTAATTATTGTTTTTAAAATTCTTAAAGATAAATAAATATTAAAAACTAAAATAAATAATATTAACATAAGAAAATTTAAATTCAAATTAGATATATATACACAATATTTAGAGGCTCTTACAGTAGCATCCAAAATTTTTGTCACATAACTATAATAATTTTTAAGTTTTTTTCTATATGTTCAACCATTTCAAATAAGAAAAAAAAGAAACAAAAAAAATAGAGTCAGATTCTATTTAAGAATGAGTCATTAAAAAGAGAGTGTAAAGTCTCCAAATCTTTGCCACTGAATTTGAAAAGAATGATAAATTTCAAATAATCTGAGAAATATGTCAAGTGATGATATGCGACACTTTTGAAAAACGAAGCATTGAAAATAGAAAAAAAAAATTTTCATTAAGACGAAAGAGACTGATGTACCCAAAGAAGATTTTTGAAATAACATGACATCTGATGGGGTTTTAACAACCCAACCTGAACCACAAAGATAACAATTA